CAGAGACTGACTAAGAGTACTGATATTCATGCCCTTCACAGGGCTGGTGTTAGGGGCCTACATAGCTGAACATTTGCCAAGAGTCAAGAGATTTAGAGGAACCTACTGTCCTGGTGTTTTTGCCAACCCCATCACATCCCATATATACACACAGTTCTGTGTCTGCCACAGCTGTGCCATGTTATAATAATTTTGTTGCCACTGATGGGTCACTTCACATCCTACTCTCCATAAACAGGTGTGCTGGTGGAAACTGTGCTGTATTATAGTAGCTGAGTTGGTGCCAAACTTGGCTTTGCCTTTCAGCTAATCTAATATCACTGCTGCATAATGGAGCCAGGCACCAGCTTGTCTCTTAATAACTGCTGATTATAACAGTTATTATGATTGGTTTTGCTTGTACAGCTAGAAGCCAATTCCATTTAAGCCCCTCTGTTGTAGTTGATGACCATTCTTCCATAAAGACATATTTCCTGTGCATTTGAAAACCTATTAGCTAGTGGAAATTATGAGTTCAAATTTGCTTCACCATTAAATTACCATATCACAAAAACATTCATTGGCTGCTTTTGAATTGCTATTCAGCTGTTAAAGGCATGAGGGGAAAAAGGTGGCATCATGATCCGCAATCATAAAGTCTTTGTAAAGAGACCTAAGATCTGTGTGGCCACCTGCAGGATCAGATATGGAATGAATCCAATGTGTGGCTGTTTTTGAAAAACCAAAACCTTCTGCTGCCTCCTCCTTCTCATCTGGTAATTCAAAATGTGTGATGATCCACATCAGTTAACTCCCAGGTTTCCCCAATCCAATTCCACTACACTAGCTGCCATTTGCAGAGGAGGTGCAAAGTAACTAAAGAATGTGGTGATATTACACTTTTGTAGAGGGAGATCTCATGGGGAGAAAAGCAAAACAAGAACTTGGCTTGCCATTCTGGGTACAAATATGCATCCTCCAAATTATCTGGTTCTTTTTCATAACTATTCATTTTCATATACAAAATTTATTAATGACTTCAGGTATTTTCTTAATGGGTTCCTGGAATTCTAGATTAAGCTACCCCACTCCTGTTTAAAGATGTTTGGTGAATACTAGAAATAACATAAACCCAAACAGGGAAGGGTCTGTGCCTATGAACCTTCCTGCGCAGCTATTTGAAGGAAATATATTATTTTGCACAGACACTAATCCTTTAGTGCTACCTCATAAGGATGACATAAGAGCCATGCTTGGCAAGATTCCCTTAACAATTCAGAGTTATGGGACCATTATTTCTGAAAGTATTCCTTTTATCTAAAAGCCAAGTCAGACATCACCAATAAAGTGTTTAATCACCTTTTATGAAGGAGAAGAACATGGAATGACTAGCTAATGGGACTCCTTCATGGATTGCTGCCTTGTTGTAGTGAAGGGGCTTGAGTAATTCAGAGAAGCTATGACTATGCTGTGCAGGAACACACAAGATGGACAGTTCATAGTGGAGAGTTCTGATTAAACACGATCCACCTGGAGCAGGAACTGGCAAGCCACTCCAGTATTTTTGCCAAAAAACAAACCCATGAACAGAAACAAAAGGCTAAAAGATATGACGCTGGAAGATGAGCCCCTCAGGTCAGAAGGCGTCCAACATGCTACTGAGGAAGAGCAAAGGACAAGTACAAGTAGCTGCAGTGTTAATGAAGTGGTTGGGCCAAAGCCGAAAGGACACTCAGCTGCAGATTTGCCTGGAAGTGAAAGGAAAGTCCGATGCTGCCCAAAAAACAAACAAACAAACAAAAAACCCTGCATAGGAACCTGGAATGTATGATCTATGAGCCTTGGTAAGTTGGATTTGGTCAAACAGGAAATGGCAAGAATAAGCATTGACATCCTGGGCATCAGTGAACTAAAATGGATGGGAATGGGTGAATTCAATTCAGACAATTGTATCTACTATTGTGGGCAAGAATCCTATAGAAGAAATGGAGTAACCCTCATAGTCAACAAAAGAGTGGGAAAAGCTGTACAGGGATACAATCTCAAAAATGAGAGAATGATTTCAATACGAATCCGAGGCAGACCTTTCAACATCACAGTAATCCAAGTTTATGCACCAACCACCAATGCTGAAGAGGCTGAAATTGACAAACGAAGCAGGACAAAAGCTAATAGAGTTTTGTCAAGAGAACAAGCTGGTCATCACAAACACTCTTTTCCAATAACACAAGAGGCGACTCTACACGTGGACATCACCAGATGGGTAATACCGAAATGAGATTGATTATGTTCTCTGCAGCCAACGATGGAGAAGCTCTGTACAGTCAGCAAAAACAAGACCTGGAGCTGATTGTGGCTCTGATCACTAGCTTCTTATAGCAAAATTCAAGCTTAAACTGAAGAAAGTAGGAAAAACCACTGGGCTAGTCAGATATGATCTAAACCAAATCCCTTATGAATACACAGTGCAAGTGAAGAACAGATTTAAGGAACTAGATTTGATGGACAGAGTGCCTGAAGAACTATGGATGGAGGTTCGTAACATTGTACAGGAGGCAGCAACAAGAATCATCTCAAAGAAAAGAAAATGCAAGAAAGCGAAGTGGCTGTCCAACGAGGCCTTACAAACAGCAGAAAAGAGAAGGGAAACAAAATGCAAGGGAGATAGGGAAAGTTATAGAAAACTGAATGCTGACTTCCAAAAAATAGCAAGGAGAGACAAGAGGGCCTTTTTAAATGAACAGTGCAAAGATATAGCGGAAAATAATAGAAAGGGACAAACCAGAGATCTGTTCAAGAAAATTGGAGATATTAAAGGAAAATTTTGTGCAGAAATGGACATGCTGAAGGACAACAATGGTAGGGACCTCACAGAAGCAGAAGACATCAAGAAGAGGTGGCAAGAATACACAGAGGAATTATGCTAGAAAGATTTGGCTATCCCGGACAACCCAGATACTGTGGTTGCTGACCTTGAGCCAGATATCCTGGAGAGTGAAGTCAAGTGGGCCTTAGAAAGCATGGCTAACAACAAGCCCAGTGGACGTAATGGCATTCCAGTCAAACTATTTAAAATCTTAAAAGATGACACTGTTAAGGTGTTAAATTCAATATGCCAGCAAGTTTGGAAAACTCAGCAGGGGCCAGAGGATTGGAAAAGACCAGTCTACATCCCAATCCCCAAGAAGGGCAGTGCCAAAGAATGCTCCAGCTACCGTACAATTGCACTCATTTCACACACTAGCATGGTTATGCTCAAAATCCTACAAGGCAGGCTTCAGCAGTATGTGGACCGAGAACTCCCAGAAGTACAAGCTGAATTTCGAAGGGGCAGAGGAACTAGAGACAAAATTCATAACATGCGATGGATTATGGAGAAAGCCAAAGAGTTCCAGAAAAACATCTACTTCTGCTTCATTTACTATGCAAAAGCCTTTGACTGTGTCAACCACAACAAACTATGGCAAGTTCTTGAAGAAATGGGAGAGCCTGACCACCTTATCTACTGAGAAATCTATATGTAGGACAGGAAGCAACAGTTAGAACTAGATACAACTGATTGGTTCAAAATTGGGAAAGGAGTACGACAAGGCTGTATATTGTCCCCTGGCTTATTTAACTTATATGCAGAATACATCATGCGAAAGGCCAGACTGGATTAATCTGGAGACGGAATTAAAATGGCCAGAGAAAATATCAACAACCTCAGATATGCAGATGATACCACTCTGATGGCAGAAAGTGAGGAGAAATTAAAGAACCTTGTAATGAGGGTGAAAGAGGAGAGCGCCAAAAATGGTCTGAAGCTCAACATAAAAAAAACTAAGATCATGGCCACTGGTCCCATCACCTCCTGGCAAATAGAAGGGGAAGATATGGAGGCAGTGAGATATTTTACTTTCTTGGGCTCCATGATCACTGCAGATGTCTGCTTCTTGGGAGGAAAGCAGAGACATCACCTTGCCGACAAAGGTCAGTAGTCAAAGCTATGGTTTTTCCAGCAGTGATATATGGAAGTGAGAGCTGGACCATAAAGAAGGGTGATTGCTGAAGAATTGATGCTTTTGAATTGTGGTGCTGGAGGAGACTCTTGAGAGTCCCCTGGACTGCAAAGGGAACAAACCTATCCATTTTGAAAGAAATCAACCCTGAGTGCTCACTGGAGGGACTGATCCTGAAGCTGAGACTCCAATACTTTGGCCATCTCATGAGAAGAGAAGACTCTTTGGAAAAGACCCTGATGCTGGGAAAGTGTGAAGGCAAGAGGAGCAGGGGACGACAGAGGACAAGATGGTTGGACAGTGTCATCGAAGCCACCAACAGGAATTTGACCCTCTGGAAGGCAGTGGAAGAAGGAGGACGTGATGTGCTCTGGTCCATGAGGTCACGAAGAGTCGGACACGACTTAATGACTACAACAACAGCTAATAGGAACTGATACTAGTTCTGTTTAAGAAAAATTACCATGCCACTGATGGCAGAGCCCAGGCATGTGAACCAGAATACATTGAGTCATCCAACTCAGGCACGGCCAACTAGTCAAATCACATACTTCTCACAAGTTATTTCAGCAGGCTGCTATCAGCCCTATACATCTACAAATCAAGTATGCTAAAATGCCTGAAACATTACTCTCAAAGGGAAAAACAACTGATTCTGGGAAGCCTATGAAACCCATGCAAAATGCTTCACACTAGTTCCGAATCTAATGTTTCTTCTTAGCTCTCATGGCTAATAAATGTTCACCATCTCCTCCACTTGTCTAATACTTAGAGACCAGAATACTATTGGCTAGTTATGCTGGCAGAAGTGCAGTGGTGTATACTGCAGTAGCAAATTACCATTGGTGGGCAATGAATGCTCACTGCATACCAGTCAAAAGAAGTGGTGAGGATATCTGTGGCAACTTGTTAACTGGTGGTCATTTGAAGCTGTAATATATGGTATTTTATTTACACCAGCACAACTAACCAATAGGATTCTGGCCTCTGCAGTAGTGAATTTCTTTAACAAATTATGCCAGTGATCTGAAGAAGTACTTCCATTTGTTGATTCTGCCACTTACTGTCAGTCAGTGTCACTGGATAAGCCAGGTTTCATTTGAAAGGCCCATCAGTCTAATTTCAGGGACAGATAAATCCCCTCTAAGAAGCAGTCCCAGTCTGAAAATCAAAGGAGGCCACAAGAGTGTGGTGGGTAAAAGAAAACACAGAAACATGAGACTGAGGCTTACCTCGTGCTTCCCCTTCTCTTTCTCCACTGGCACTTCATCAAATGTTTTCACGCTGAGTGGCCGGTTTTTCTTGTTAATGCTGAAAATGAGAAGAAGACAAAGTTTCTGGTTGGTCCACTGTGGTCTTGTAGTCTTACAAGTGATTTTATTTATTTATTATTTTATTAGATTTTATTAGATTTCTACCCTGCCCATCTAGGCCAAAGGTCTACTCTGTTTTAAGTGTGAAAGTAACCATAAGGGGGTATGTGACTGGGGAGAGGATCACTTCATTGCTCATGGATAGTCATGCATCTGTGGAGAACATGAAAATAATGACCAAGAATGTGCACTGTCTCCAGAAAAATATGTAAATATTGACTGAATCAAGTACAGTGGTGCCCCGCATAGTGACGATAATCCGTGCAGCCAAAATCGTCGCTATACGGATTCGTCGCTATGCGAAAGAAAAAAGCCCATAGGAATGCATTAAAACCCATTTAATGCGTTCCTATGGGCAAAAAACTCACCTTAATGCGAAAATCCTCCATACGGCCACCATTTTCGCTGCCCGGTAAGCGAGGAATGGGTGCAAAAACACAGCAGGCGGCCATTTTTTTTACCTGGCGGCCATTTTGGAACAGCTAATCAGCTGTTGGGAAAACATCGTTATGCGAAAATTGGTAAGCGAAACAGCTTACCGATCATTGCAAAGCAATATTTTCCCATTAGAAACATCGTTATGCAATCGTAAAAACGATCACATAAAAATCTGTCGCTATGCGGATTCGTCGTTAAATGAGGTGCCCGTTAAGCGAGGCACCACTGTATATGACTTTGTTTGGAAGGTGGCCATGGGGTAAAGCAAAGAGCCCAGAAGTACTCATGGGGCACAGCAGTACCCTGGCTGTGTCCCTCCTATTAAATCCAGCTTTGTGAGTTTGAAAATATTTTTTAAATTCCAGTGTGATCATAATCAGTGAAAGCTCCCCACAATTCTGGAGCCTGGTGCAGTTGTAAGTTATTTGATATGACCTGGCTTTGCTATTTGTGTTTCTCCGTTCATAGGAATGGGCTTTTCCTAGAGATATGAACATGCACAAGTACTGACTCAGACTTCGATCAGATTGGGTTATATTTCCAAAAAGGAATAGAGCAGGTTGTGTACCATTTTTGTGCCCTCATTTGAGCACATTTTCACAGCAAAATGACAAATCTTCCCATAGCTGCCTGTTAGCAGAAAACAAGAAAACGTAAGGGAAGCTGTTTAAGATAAATTTCAAATTCCATGTAGTGGTGATACCTTTATTAGACAACTAAAAGGTCGTAAGATTGTTGTGCAACCTTTTGAGATTAAAAAAAACCATATTGGTTGGCTGTGATACAGAAAAAGGAAGTCTAATATCAAAGCAAAGGATTTCTACATGTTGTTTAACGAGGTAGTACCATTTTCCAAACAGCAAGAAAGCAAGTAAGAATAAACATTATTCTCTTTTTAGAAAAACTGCTTCTCATACCTTGCTTCCATGGCACTCCAGCGATGAATGCGGTTGTTGTTCACATTCTCTTCTGAGATGCAGATCTTGGGGTTAGGCTCCCCATCTGTAATGTTCAGTGGGATGTAATCTTTCCCATCCTGCATTTTTCATAATCAAGAAGAAAATGGGGAGCTGAGATTAGGTTTTTTCTCCCTTGGCCATAGCCAAAATATGACTTCACATTTTGCCAAATCTGTTTTTAGTAGGTTGCTTGTCTCACAAATCCTCTGAAGTGATTATTTTATTCTCTCTATATTTCTGAGACCGCTGAGGATTTACAGCTTGCAAATGAAGCAGCACTCAGGTTTTATTCCTGGCTTCTGTGGCCGAGCATTTCCGAGGTCACCTGGAGAAGTGAGATTAGGACTCGGGTCTTTCCAGCTAAAAGTTTAAAAACAGGCTGGGGAGCCTCTGGCCTTCCAAATGTTGCTGGATTCCAACTCTCATGACTTCCAGCCAGCATAGCTACTGATCAGGGATGAAAGGGGTTATGGGTCAAACCAGACAGGGCAGTTAATACATAATTTGACCAACTCCCTTAAAAGGAAAAGACTGTTTATTCTGACACATGCTTACTTCAATGCCCATTTGGCAAATGAGCCTGCTTTTGTATTGAAATTGATCAGTTGGGAAATAATATGTCACATAGCACTGAAAGATTTGGGTGCTTAGAGAGAGATCATTGGAAGAGGAGGAAAGACATATTTGTCCAGTATCTATCCTCAAAAACTTGATTCCCAGGAGAAACTCCTATTATATAGTAGAAACAGTCCATTGTATTATCATAGAACAGCACTTTTAATTCCCATCTTCCTGAGCCTAGAGTCAGATGTCCCATCTCTTGTCATCATTCTGTCTTACTCCCTCTAGCAATGACAAGAATCTCACAAATTATACTTTACTTCTGCCTAGCAAGCTAGATCTTCTCCAACTTGAGCTCCACTGATTTCATTTGTTGTGCCAAGTGAAAAGGGAAAGGATAAACCTGGCCACTGAAGATTATGTAACTAATGTATTTCAAAAGTGAAGAGAAAAAGTTGATTAAGCTATGCTGGAACAGGCAATTATATAATTGTCTTTGTGGGATGTAAAGCTTTTTACGTTTATGCTTCTCAATGCAATGATGAGTTCAGAATATGAGGCCTATGTACATGTTCAAAGTGAGAATGAAAGAGAAACATGATATTCCCTTTCCGGGGGTTGAAAACTAATGAAAGCTATTTGGTTGATAAAAAGCTGCTGTTCCTCCAGGGGTAAGCAAGGATTTCAAACATAATTGAACATGCGTTTCCTACTTGTCATGGTTGAATACAATTGGATTTGTGAAATATGACCCTCTTTGAGCAAAAGATATACCCTGAATTTTGCTCTCTATTCCCTGCTATGATATAACCTTTAACAAACTAATTTAGGTAACTGGGTCTTAAGTCTCACAATATGCATGCATTTGGAGTTTTCTACCAGTTAGATAGATTCCCTTTACCTGTTGCACATTTGCCTGGAGCAGATCTCCTAAACGCTCCACAAGTTCGGTGAAGGTGGGCCTCTCTGTTGGAACTCTGTGCCAGCAATCCAACATGGTCTGGTAGCTTCAGGCAAAACAAGAAAATGAATTGTGCCTTAAAGATAAGTCATAGTGGTTCACATGTAGTGGCTATCTTTGCTTATATTGATGCTGAAATGGATGTACTGTATGGTTTTAGATATTTTGTAGGTGAGCTGTGCATAGCTCATTAGTTCTTTTATATCTTGCAGCAGAAGCTCTTACTGAAGCCCCTGTGATCTCACTGGCTCCAGCCCTCCATTGACTGATCAAAAAGAAAGTTACAAACAGAGCCTGGTCTTCAGCAGGTGAACCAGTGGCTCCCACTTGGAGATCCCTGGCCAGAAGCATAACTAGGGCAGAGCAAGCAGGGCTTTGATGCAGGGTGCTGAAATTTAGAAGGTGCAACAATGGCTGCTAGAACAGGGATAGTCCCTGTTTTGGTATTTGCTTTTGAAAATACTTGAACCCACTTGCCCCGAGTGATTCTGCGCTTCTAGCTGTGCCTTCCCAGGAGGAAGTAAAGACATAACAAAGGAACTAATATGGTTTAGCACACAACTAATAAAGCTACATACTCAGATGTGCTTTCCCATTTCTCTGTCCTTTTCCCATGTATGCCAGTGTTAACCAATAGGACAGCAATGCCCTAGGTGTTCAGATTTATGGTTATAACTCTGTCCTAGGCTGCATCGCAGAGGCATGAGTGTGTGATCTCTAGCAGTGCTGGTTTTTGCTTTACTCTGCTACATCCCAAACTACTTGTTCTCTGCTTTCTCCCTGATCTTGCAATGCTGCATACTTCTTGGAAATACCCTCTTAATGTTGCCCACTGGAAATATTCTTCTTTCTCTATTATTGCAGTGCTGCAGACAGTAGGCAGCTTAGGGATGTAGCATAGGTCCCAAGATACACTCTGCCTGCCATCTAACATCTCACTCCCCTCACTATCTGCCTTTTGAAGTGACCACCCTTTGTATTCGCGAAGGCTTTCACGGCCGGGATCTAATGGTTGTTGAGGGTTTTTCGGGCTTCTTGGCCGTGTTCTGAAAGTGGTTCTTCCTAACGTTTCGCCAGTCTCTGTGGCCGGCATCTTCAGAGGACAGCAAACTGTGCTCTGAAGACAGTTTGCTGTCCTCTGAAGATGCCGGCCACAGAGACTGGCGAAACGTTAGGAAGAACCACTTTCAGAACACGGCCAAGAAGCCCGAAAAACCCACAACAACCATGATCACCCTTTCTTTTCTTTTATAATTTGGTATTTTATCAAATTACATAGTTTGCTTATTTTGATCTGGATGCCAGCTAAGCTCTGAAAGGTGTTTCTAAAGCTACAGCAGCAATTCCTTGCTCTCAAAGAATCTAGAGCTCTGCAGTACAGTGATATCTTGGGGGCAGCTAGCTATTTCTAGTAGAATTTTCAGTTCTCAGGATTCCTTGGAGGAAGGTACAGTGACAGGTACAGTGATATAAAGTCTGTGTGTGCTTGTTGAGTTGGTTGCTATACTCTTCCACCATTTGCACTTTCAAAAGTCTGTTAATTTAGCCTTAAGGTCATACTGATGAATGACTAAACTAGAAGTGTCTTGGAGTTCTCAGAAGATATTCTCTAGAAAAAATGTGGAGATTTTTCTTTGGCTCATATCTTTAGAAAACAGCCTTATACTTTTTCATTTCCTCTTAGAATTCACCACTATTTTTATGTAGTGATTGTTATTTCCCACCCACCCCTAGCCCCACCAAGGCAGGAGAATGTGGCTATCACTCTCTCCTTGGTCACATTTTCCAATTAACCTTTTTTTGGAATGTGTGAATAGAGCACTAAGGGGATAGGTCCTGGGGAGAATAGATTGATTTTTTTGGTGAGGGACAGAGGCAGGCATTAGGCATAGTGCATTGGTCTCAGGGAATGGAAAACCTACATTTCGGGAGTTGAGTATTCTGGTGATCTCATCCGTGTTCCTTCCTTGAGACGTCGGCAGAAGTCCTCATCAATTTGCACACCTGGGTATGGAGAAGCTCCTGTAGGCACAAACATACATGCATAATGAATGTCACATGAAATGGCTTTAACATTTTTTTGCCTCTCCTGGAGAAATGAAATGAATATAAGCAGCACAGCTTTACAAGTTTACATTCTGGCTAGGGAAGGTTGTTTTGCAAACAGTGTCTAATGCTGGCTCTAGCTCTTATGAGGTGTCCTGAAAACTTTGGTTCCTGCCTCTGACAGACCCCCTTTGTTATCTGAACATGGACTGCCTTTTGACTCTGTTTTGGGATCACCCTTTCCTGACTTAACTTCCTCACTGGGAGGTCTCTGGTGGCTCCAAACTTTGGATCCAATTTGTAGAGGGCCCTTGCCTGAGTGGCTGCTGATGACCTGGACTCAACCAGCTTAAATTCTGATCTGTCTGAGCAATCCCCTTGGAGTCCACCAGGTCATAAACAGGACACTGCTTTCCATCTGGGTTGGCCAGGTTCCAGTAGAATTTACACAAATAATAGCCCCAGTTGGTGTGCAGTCTAAAAACCACAGTGTTCAATGATGTGCATTATTTTATATCTAATCTGATGTCAAGATATTAAGTATGCATGCATGCAAGTCCTAGATATTTTCATATGAGGAGCCATTTCACTCAGAACAGCCTTATTCCTTGAGCAATGTAGCTTTATGTTCAGTCCAACAATGTAGTGAAATTTTTATTCATGCCTCCCTGCCCTTCCTATATTATTTTTTATTTTAGCTTAATGCATCCTGGTTGATTTTGTTTATGATTTTATTTTTGAATAGCACCTGGAAAATGTTAGGGACTTCAGCAAGAATGAAATAGTTAGCACTGTACTTGTATATGTGAGAACTTCCACTTTTAATAAGGCTACAAAATATTGTTCTCTCTCATACTAAACTGAAAAGGTTTTAATGGTGTTTGCTGCTCTTAAATATGCAAATTTATTTTAACAAACATTTTTAGCAATTTGCATTTACTTTAATGTAGATCTAAAAAGTTTACTTTTAGATGGTGCTTGCATAATTTTTTCAAAATAGAATTCTAATGTTTTAAGTTGCAAAGCACCCTGTGAAGACCAGGCCCTGAAAGGCAGCTAAAAATATTTGAAACAAATAAGTAAACACACCTAGCACTTGAGAATCTTTAAGCCAGTTGCCATCAGCACATCCTGTCACAGAGAATGCCAGGCAGTTTGTGTCATAGGGCAAAGCAACAATCAAAGCATAAAGATGTAGAAAGGAGTGGAAACAAGGCAGATATTTCTTTGCCACAACTAAGTCAAACAGCTCCAGCTCTCCAAAATGCCCCGTCAGAAGAAAAAAAAATCATGGCAAGACAGATACAAAGTCTACTTTCACGATGTACCAATGTGCTAAACAAGGCAGCAAAATGGACTGGGGAGAAAAGGTATCAGAAGACGACGCTGAGGCACCACAGCCTTGTCCTTCATTCTTTTTAGAAGCCTCATGGGACCCTCACCTCCACTAAGGATGACTGAACTAATATGACAAGGAAAATAAAAGGCACACAAATGAATCATTCTGACTAGCACAACTGTCAGGACAAAGTAAAGCCTGCCATGGAACTGAGCAGCTCTCTAATAGACCATGGTTTCCACTTCAGAACAGCAAAAGTGTTTGAATGGAGTGGCCCTCTTTTCAACTCTGCTTCACTGTTTCTCATATCTCCTGTCTTCTTTGACTGTATGCCCACAGAATAGCAGGCATGAGCCCAGAGCTGGAAAGTGCCTGTTCCCCCCCCCCAAGGACTCCTTGAATCTTGAGGGATAATTTTGCATGGACACATAATTAGGATTTAACACAGGGGGAGGGGTTTAATAGAATCTGAATTTTACTCCTGCTTTTGAGGAATCCCTATCCACTTTACATCACATCACGTTCCTGTTTTGTTTGTGCACTGGTGGTATCCCAGCTTTCACTGCAGGCTTTGGAACAAAACAAGCAGTACAGGAACAAGGAGGAATGAATGGGAGCATAACTATTCCCACTAGAATAGACTTGTTAAATGGCAAGCCAACATCTATATGATTCCCACTGGTTCAGTGGGTCTAATTTACTTGGGATTAGAAATGAGGTTTAAGCCAATATGTCCTCAGTGATAAGTACTCCTTCCCACTTTCTTCTGTTTGCTGAAAACCTACCCCCTTCCCCAGATGTGCACCTTTATCAGCTTCACTGTGGTTCACCATTAACCTGCACGTTGCATACTTATTGGCAAACCGAATTCCTATCCTGTCCACCAGGATTTGAAATTGCTAGTTCAGCAGCAGCCTGTTAACCTAGTTTGGCAGATAATATACTAAACCACAAATGAATCCCACAAGGCACAGGCAGAAGAGAACAATTTGGTCCGAAAGATACAAGTTTGCTGAAATTTGCAAACAACTAGTCCTTGGTTATAAGTGACTAGTGGCCTTCTGCCAAGCTCTGCTTTTGTTTTAAAAACCCCTGGTGTTATAGTATCAACTATTAACTTATTTCCACAAATCCATTCCACTGCTCTTGCAAATTAGATGTCAAGAAGGGCTGCCGTTCTATTTGGCACTGTGTTGGCAATTTCAAAATGCAGCAGGCTTAACCTGACAATTCAAAATTTCAGTAGCCATTTTCTATGCAAGAAAGATAATCACTGACAAAATCAAAACAAGGAGATGTCATCAGTCTATTCACAGGAAGCTGCAACCCGCCAAGAAATGAATGGGAGTGGGTTTAATAACTGGTATGTTAGGGAACTGAGACTCCATAAAATGTCATGTTTTTCACTAGCTGCAATATTTTCTTTTGTAAAGGCAGTGGACTGTTGGAGCTATAAAAGTGGTAATTGTAGGATGGAGCCCAAACATACCCCACAACAAAGACAAACAAGACCTCATGTTCTGGTTCCTAATGATCTATAAAACATTTTATGTAAGTGGTGTCCCTTGATGACACAGCTCCTCAATTAAATATTTGTGAGTGAGAGCTGTAAACCGGAGGGTGCCAAACCAAGGACATTCCTGGATGATCTTTACTGATATGTCTCTTCTGAAGAACAATATTCTTTTTGAAATTGTGCCACTTAACCAGAAATTGTATGCAAGAAGTCGTGCAAGGACCAGAATGTGTTGTGGTCCTGCACATTCTTCTGCTTAAAGAACAATCCATTGTTTCTGTTAAAGAGTTTGTTTTGGAAAGGGAAACCTGCTGAAATGAAAACTATTCCTGCCACTTTAACAGTCTACTGGGAATAAGAATGTTTGCACTGATTTTTTCAAATTTTGACAGTTAACTACTGCATGCCCAAATATATTTCTGACGCCAGTATAAATTTCCTTTCCTAATTAATTCAACTCATTCACCTCCAGGCTGTTCTGCTGGTTCCCTGGTTCCCTGTTAAGTGGCCAAGTCACTTGGATGTGATGTACTCTGGCTGCATCACTCAGATGGCATCTCTAGAGAAGGAGACAGGTTTCTGTTTTTGTGCTCTGTGGTTTGTCAGACTCTGCCTTCAGGGGAATATTTTTGACATCATGTTTGCTGCAGGGTTCTTGAAGCAGAGGACTTAGGCATGTTCTTGTTTAAGGCTACAAAACACTTCCTTCAAAGTCGCCCTTTCTCCAAAATCACTTTGCAAATGAATCCCTCTGTTTACCTCTCAGTGATCACCAAATAAAAGCGAACTCAATGACAACTGGCAGAGTTGCAGATACCTCCCAGTAGGATGAACAAGCATTCTGGTACAGGGTGGTACAGCCACTGTTTAAATCTCACAAAAACCCGATAAGACTTGATGTGAGTCAAATGAGACTTGATTGCACGCAACAAGATACTGTATCCTGGAAGCATATCAAAGATATAATCCTTGCATGCATAATAGCACAGTAGCCATTATTATTGTTGTCCTGTGGAACTCCATGCCTCAGGATGTGGTGATGGCACAGCTCTGTGAGACAAGTTGCTGATAAACAGTGACCATAATTTTTAATCTATAAGCTATCAGGAAAAATTTTCTCTTTTCCTTTTTGTATCACATTTGATGAAGAATTTGAATAAAGAGCCCAACTAATGCAAATAAATATATCTGAAATATATCTGTTAGAGCTTTAGGATTACACAATAGTTTTGTTTTTATTCTCTCCCCTTCTTCTTCATATGTGCCATGTGATAGATTCTTTCTCATGGATTGACATGACTACTTGTAACTGTAGTTTCAAGATGGGTGATTCCAAAAGGTCTTTGTAAACTGTCTGTGTTAGTTTGTTCCCAATTGTGCTGTCACATTCTGCTAGTGAAGAAAGAACTTTTTTCTTTTCTTTTACAAAATAGGGGGAAAAATCACGACCTAGAAGGCTGTGCTAATGAGCACTGCACACAGCCACAAACAATGGAGGAATATTTCCATCCCAAACATTTCATGGCTTGCCCGAATTATCCTTTCTCCTCCTTCTACCTGTGCACTGCCAAAAGAATATGTAAGATTTGGCACAGATCTTTTTGTTTCCATGACAGGGTTTTAGCCAACATGTGGTCTTCTGAGTGTTTCATTTTTCAGAGGGTCAGCAAATTGGGAGAACTGTTCTAGGAAAAAGGAAGGGACACTCTACAAACATGAGCATCTTGGGCAGAAGTCTCCATCGTTGAGAGAATTCTTCTATTACTAGTGGTAGACCAAGAAGCCATCAGCAATGGGACTGAGGGCAAGCACCCTTGTGATCTTTGAGCTGAACATACTCAGCCTCTAGGAAACAAGAGTCTGACACAATGATTTTCTGCACTGTCAAAACAGCTTTAATCCATAGAAGCCATGAAGTGGTCATTCTGTGAATTCACACTACCCACCCATCCTCCCCTCTGTCCGTCACGGTTTCCTTATTATAGTACAACTATTGTGCCCGGCGGACAAATTGCAGGAACTGAGGGGAATATTGGGTGGGAGGAGCATGTGCCTCTTGGGGGATCGTCCCACAAGATTGTTACTTTTAGCTCTAGAATACTCCGAGAACGTCAGCGCAGGCGCAGACTAAACCCATATGTGTGAATTCACAGAATGACCACTTGAAGAACCATGGTTACAGGTAAGTAACCTGTCTTTTCAGCTGCTAAAAATGTCAACTCCAGCTTTAAAAACACGCACGATAGGCCAAAATGTCAATCAGCCACATCAGTGTCTGTCTGAAAGCAGCCTTCTGGCTTAAGCAGCGTCCTGCCTGATTTACATTTACTAGAAATGTGCAGTCAGGTCTCAAAAGCACTTTTCTGACTTAATCCAGCACAGGGAATAGCTGAGCTACATTTTGAGTACTCACAGGCTACCCCATGAAGCTGTCCCAGATCAGATCAGACCCCACATGCAATCTTACCTAAAGAAAATATCTCCCACAGCAATACACCGAAAGACCAAACATCACTCTGGGTTGTGTAGATTTTGTCAAAAATAGCTTCTGGAGCCATCCATTTAAGTGGAAGCCTAGCCTATGACGTGAAGAAAGGAAGAGATCATGGATGGTAGCAATACTTATATATATTGTACACATATATATGTACGAGATACATTGGGATACATACTTTTTCATCCAACATTGGTTAAATTAGCTCAATAAAGTAATTCTGTTTGCCAGATCTGAGCAGGGCTGTTAATGATATGACCTTTTGGGGGTCATTGATTCATTGGGTCAGCAAAAGTTAGAAGTGACTTGAGAGCAGAAACACATGCACACATGCACGAATACACCAGTAGATAATTAACAGCCTCTAAGTGAAGTCATATATATCACACAATAATTTAAATCCTCTCACTCACATCTCCTTTCCTCACATAGTCAGGATCTTTGTAAATATCTCTAGCCAATCCAAAATCACAGATCTTCACCACGTTGTTTTCAGAAAGTAGAATGTTCCTGGCTGCCAAATCTCTATGAATGCACTGGAGAAATGAGGGTAAAAGACAAATGGAATCAGAAAGTATTGTTCAATTATTTTGAACTGTGAAGCTGCAACATGATTAGTCAGACATGATCAGTCCCTGTGCAAGCTAGGTGGTAAAGTCAATGTGTATTTGTAATGATTAACCTGTTTTCCCTTTCACATGGGGACTTGCTTTTAGGAACCTGGCTTTAAAACTATGTTTTCCTCGTAATTACCACTTACAAAACAAAGTATGTAAGATACGTAGGTGAGGAAATCGTATGCTATGACAAACAGATGTTTTTCACTGCTTGAGGGAACACCTCTTCTAAAAATATGCTAAGTGTATTTGACTCTCACCCTTCACGGATTGCTGCCTTGTCATGGCAAGGGGGCTTAAGTAATTCAGAGAAGCTATGGGCTATGCCATGGAGGGATATGCAAGACAGACAGGTCATAGTGGAGAGTTCTGACTAAATGCGATCCACATGGAGCAGGAACTGGCAAACCACTCCAGTATTTTTGCCAAGAAAACTCCATGAACAGAAACAAAAGGCTAAAAGATACGATGCTGGGAAATGAGTCCCTCAGGTCGGAAGGCATCCAACATGCTGCTGAGGAAGAGCAGAGGACAAGTACAAGTAGCTCCAGAGCTAATGAAATGGTTGGGCCAAAGCTGAAAGGACGCTTAGCTGCGGACGTGCCTAGAAGTGAAAGGAAAATCCGATGCTGCCAAAAAAAAAAAACACCCTGCATAGAAACCTGGAATATAAGATCCATGAACCTTGGTAAGCTGGATGTGGTGAAACAGGAGCTGACAAAAACCAATATTGACATCATGGGCATCAGTGAACTAAAAAGGACGGGTATGGGCCAATTCAATTCAGACGATTATCATATCTACTAGTGTGGGTAAGAATCCCATAGAAGAAATGGAGTAGCCCTCGTAGTCAACAAAAGATTGAAAAAAGCTGTACTGGGATACAATCTCAAAAATGAGAGAATGATTTCAATATGAATCCAAGGCAGACTTTTCAACATCGCATTAATCCAAGTTTATGCACCAACCACCAATGCTGAAGAGGCTGAAATTCTATGAAGACTTACAACACCTTCTAGAACTGACACCAAAGAAAGATGTTCTTGTCATTATAGGGGACTGGAATGCTTAAAGTAGGGAGCCAAGAGATAAAAAGAGCAACAGGTAAGTTTGGCCTTGAAGTTCAAAATGAAGCAGGGCAAAGGCTAATAGAATTTTGTCAAGAGGGCAAGCTGGTCATCACGAACACTCTTTTCCAACAACACAAGAGGCGATTCTACACATGGACATCACCAGATGAGCAATACCAAAATCAGATTGATTATGTTCTCTGCAGCCAAAGATGGAGAAGCTCTATGCAGTCAGCAAAAACAAATCTGGAGCTGATTGTGGCTCCGATCATCAGCTTCTTATAGCAAAACTCAAGCTTAAACTGAAGAAAGTAGGAAAAACCACTAGGCTAGTCAGGTATAATCTAAACCAAATCCCTTATAAATACACATTGGAAGTGAAGAACAGATTTAAGGAACTAGATTTGATGGACAGAGTGCCTGAAGAACTATGGATGGAGGTTCGTAACATTGTACAGGAGGCAGCAACAAGAATCATCCCAAAGAAAATGCAAGAAAGCAAAGTGGCTGTCCAGTGAGACCTTACAAATAGTAGAGAAGGGAAACAAAATGCAAGGGAGATAGGGAAAGTTACAGAAAATTGAATGCTGACTTCCAAAAAATAGCAGGGACAGACAAGAGGGCCTTCTTAAATGAACAGTGCAAAGATATAGAGGAAAATAATAGAAAGGGACAAACCAGAGATCTGTTCAAGAAAATTGGAGATATTAAAGGAAAATTTTGTGCAGAGATGGACATGCTGAAGGACAACGATGGTAGGGACCTCACAGAAGCAGAAGACATGAAGATGAGGTGGCAAGAATACATAGAGGAATTGGATGACTGCAAAGAGAACAAACCTATCTGTTCTGAAGCAAATCAACCCTGAGTGCTCACTGGAAGGACAGATCCTGAAGCTGAGGCTCCAATACTTTGGCCATCTCATGAGAAGAGAAGACTCCCTGGAAAAGACCCTGGTGTTGGGAAAGTGTGAGGGCAAGAGGATAAGGGGATGACAGAGGACGAGATGGTTGAACAGTGTCATCGAAGCTACCAACATGAACTTGACCAAACTCCAGGAGGTAGTGGAAGACAGGTGGGCCTGGTGTGCTCTGGGGTCCATGGGGTCATGAAGAGTCGGACATGACTTAATGACTAATCAGTAAAATTTGACTCTCAGAGGTCTTACTCATCTCAACTTTGATTTTCTTCTACAAATAATTAGGAATTTATTGCAGAAGCAATAAAGAGTATAGCCAATGTACTAAAGCCCAACTTTTATGTACACCGTTATCCTACTCTGTGTTTTTAACCTGTGTACCTTTAGGGCTAAAAATGCAGACTGAGATAAAAACATACATAAAAGCCTACTCCTAACATCCTAGTGTACCCAGTACCTCTGCAGAACTTTCCATGTTGATTATGAAGCTTTGCACAGAGGTTGTAAATGCAGTCAGAGATTCCTCTGCACAACTAAGATTCCTGATAAAGCAATTTGTAAATCCATTCAGTGGAATGATCGTATGATCATATCTCCAAGGCAGAGCTTCATGCTAAACAATTTTATACATGCCCCCCTCCTCCTTTTACTCCTCAGCACCACTACCACCGCCCTGCAGAGAGCTTGAGCAACACTGATAACATACTTTTCTTGAGGCCAGGAACTCCATGCCTTTTGCCACCTGGAAGCTGTAGCAAATCAAGTCCTCCAAAGTCAAGGGGCGCTTATAGAGATCATCAGCATCTAGGAGAGAGTAGGCTGCTGTTTGAACATTATGATTAGCATGCAAGAAAACTGTAGAAACATCCAAGAGATCAGTATCATTCCTGATATGAAGGGCTCTAACAGACCCAAGCACAGCCAGTGTGGTGTTATGTATGATGGTAGTGACTGAGATTTGGAGCATCTGAGTTCTAGGACACATTGATTCATGAAACTCACTGGGTGACCTTGGGATCCTCACTTTCTTTGAGCCAGATGTACCTCACAGAGTTATTCTGAGAATGGAATGAGGAGGAGAGCCATATATACCACCCTCAATCCACTCACATCCCACAATTCATTTATAAGTAACAGGAAGTTCTGCATCCTCAGGATTGACAAGCAGGAGAATATCACAAACCCCAGGGCAAGCTGTTGCTATGATTACATCGATAACCTTGTCCAATAATGGAACTGAAGGCATGGGACATTTGAGTGATTTGATCCACAAAGAATCAAGCAATTTCTCAGTGAGCCCTTAGTTACTTTTGCTTCTTCCTTCACCAGTATCTTTATTAATAACATTTTTGAGTTACATTTTGTTTAATTCATAGATAGATGGAGAGAGCGAGCGAGTGAGACAGGGGGGGATGGAAAACACAGGATCAAGGACATTTCCACCTTCTCAAAGGGTGCATCCAACCTTCAAACAGGACAGTGGGTTACATAAGGCATCTATGACAATCCCATTCCAGTAATCCCAATGGATAGTAAAATTAAGGTGATCAGACTTGACATCTTTTTTTTAAAAAAAGGCTCCTTTAGTTCATATAATCCTAACATTGTGTGTCGCTCAGAGAAAGTTTATCCAAAATTTCATGGGATGGATTGGGCATTCTCAGTTCTGCAAATCTTTGTTTCTTAAAAAAAAAAAAAGAAAAGAAAAAAAAAGAAAGAAAAAAAGACGCCAAATGGAGGCAAAAGGGTTTTTTCTTTTTCTCCTTATTCGTCTGTTTTATCTTAGTGAAGAAGGACACACAAAAGTGAGAAAAAACATGGCTGATTAATTCCTTATCCAGAACCACCCATAGATATTACAAATTTATGTTTCTGTGTTGTGGCCTACTTTGTTTGAACATTTTTTCAACATCATGTGACTTTCAGACATAAAAGGAGTCTCTTTGACGCTTCTCTAGCTTGTCCTTACAACTGAGGAGCTGGAGCACCCACAATGAAAAGTACAGACACAGTTTGAGACAAGACAAGGGTGGGGGTCCAGAACAGCATAATATCAAAGAAACTGAAAGCAGCCATATTTTTACCTTCCTCTTCCTCTTCTGAATCTGTATAACTCTTGTCTTCAATGAATCCTGAACTAGCAGAGCTCCCAGTGCTGGCCACACTTTCCAAGCGTCTTTTGATCAGTTCTGTTAAATCACTAATGGACTCCTCCAGCCCTTTTTCTGCCAGATCCAAATTTTCCTGGGGCTGGAAAATAAAATCCACAGCAAAGCCCTTTATCTCTGTATCTATGTGTGTAGGCACTGGTTCTAGGATACTCTAATATTGGGATGGTGAACGATTTTATTCCAGCTATGAATAACAGCCAACCAGACCCAGATTCCTATTGAAGAATGACATTCTGTTTGAGATTTCCTGCCATCAATTTTGATGAGACATTCTTTATAAGTACCAAAGGGTGAATAAAAACGTGAATTTTAGGCTGAGAATTACTGTATTATTCCCTTGCATAGGAAACAAGACCTGTCTGTAAATTGTATTTTTCTGGATGTTTGAGGAGCTGTCTTGGAGACCAAGAAAGCATCTTACCTTGCTTGCAATGAAGTCTCCTCGTTTTCCACGTAGGTAATTAGACAGATTTCCATAAAGTACCAAAGGGTGAATAAAAACGTGAATTTTAGGCTGAGAATTACTGTATTATTCCCTTGCATAGGAAACAAGACCTGTCTGTAAATTGTATTTTTCTGGATGTTTGAGGAGCTGTCTTGGAGACCAAGAAAGCATCTTACCTTGCTTGCAATGAAGTCTCCTCGTTTTCCACGTAGGTAATTAGACAGATTTCCATACTTGCAGTATTCTACTATGACCATCAAAGGACCTGCAAAAATAATCAGAGCAAGGTTCATAAAATGATAATACAGAAAGTGAAGCACTGTAGAAATGACTGCAGAACTTCCTTATTGCAGGCATTCTAGAAAATGAGACACAGATAAGAAAATTTTTATTTCTGAGTCAAGAAAAGTCAGAAGAGAGAAATGAATCAATCTTCTGAATTTGTTTGTTTAAGTTATGGATTTCAGTGATAGAGCTCTTCCGGCTGGAGCATTTGTAATGCCATTTATTCTGGCTTCTACACTGATCTTATTGGACTTTCCAATGTCCAAATGATGTATTTGTTATCTCTCTTTGTACCATTTCCCCCCATGAGTTCCTGGAATTTTTTCATCCTTCCAAATCCCTTGGTTTATTTTTGTTTTGATTTGTACTCTAAGGATGCAGTATTTAACACTGTAGCTGCTTTTGTTCCTTTGAAGCAAGAGATTTGAGTAATTAGCAGCATCTTACCTCCTGGCTTGGTGCAAGCTCCTAGCAGGTTGACCACATTGAGATGGTGTCCAATATGGATGAGGATTTTCAGCTCAGACATCAGTGCCTTGCATTCGTTGGTTGTTGCGCACTCTGCTTGAGATAAACAGGACAAAGCCATCTTTACCAAACAGGATGTTGACAAGGGCAAATACAAAATCCTGTTTATACTAAAAAAGGAAGCAAAGCACTGCCACCACATCACTGGAAGGGAAGGTAACAAAGGCCACCCTGGTCCCTTTTGGTATCTGTTGTGTAGGAATCTGCTCATCAGATAAGGAATGACTTCCTGTCTTGACCCTCAAATCATTAGTCCTCAGAGTCTCCTTCCTGTACTAGAGTTGAATTGTACTGCTGAAACTCTTCTTCACATTTCCTCCTAGAGGTCAATAGAGCTAGGAATATTACTTATGGGCAATATCTTTGTGTGGTCCGTTGTACACATTCTGAAATTCTAAAAAAAGACTTATCCGAGGTGGTCTTTGGTCTACAGTTTCTTTCAGCCCCCACCAGCTTGTTTGTTAGTCAGAATGATAGGCTTTAGTGTCTAAATGATCACAAACAATCTTACGCACAGGACTCCCTCAAAATCTTTCAATATTTTTCAATATAGACAGCACATTTGTCAATACTATCATAAAACAGCTGATTTCAGAAGTTAAACAGGGTTGGGCATAGTTAGTCCTTGGACAGAGGACTGGTAGGGAATAAGAGTATTCCAAATAAGGCCTGGTAAAGAACCCTGCTTCTAAATTTGAACAACTGCTGCCAGTCAGAGCTGACAATATGGTGCTAGATGGAGCAATGACCCAATCTATACTGAAACAACTTCCTACATTCCTTCCAGTGTGTGTTTTTAGGAAGATCTGTTGTCTCTGTCTGCCAGGGATACTATCTTAGTTATGTTTGCTTAAAAATCTTCAGGAATAGCAAACTGTCATGTGCATTTTTCTATATGAACTTGTCCATGGAAATTGTACTCTGAAATCATGTAGAGTAAGAGATCTGAAAATGCCATGCAACAGAAAGTAGAGAGACCAGTCTAGATAGATCTGGAAGGAGACTTGACATTCATAGAAACACAGAGTTCAGGAGAGGAGGCAGAAGATGCTGCTGGTTGGTAGGTTGTATTATTGAAGTTGAATTTTGGCTCTCCATATGTTTTGGGCTTCAATTCCCAGATGCCTTCACCAGCATGACTGAGACATCAGCTTATAGGAGCTGCAGCCCTACACATTGGGGGAGGGGGAAGATTCCTCACCTTTTGTCTTGGAGAGGAGTTTGAACCATCAAGCAAAAGAAGCACTATGCTTGCCTAGCAGTGAGACTCTGCTCACTGTGGAGAATGAGAAAAGGAATCCAGGCAGTGCCTTTCAGAGTTATATGTCATAACACATATTCACACTTAAAATAAAAACGTAGCTACTCCAAGCAGTTAACCTATGAGATGATACATTTATTCATCAAATGTCTGCAGAGTACCAAGATATAAAGGTTATTAGGAGGCACCATATGGCCCAAGTCCCTTCACTTAAAGGAAATGCTTTCCCTTTGTCTCAGTTACGATATTCCTGGTATCTTTAATTTGCTCCTAGGGCAACACTCCATTCAAGGCCCTCGAAGTATTGGCTTGTCTCAGGGATGGGATCAAAGACTTATATACAATTTCAGGTGATTAGATTTCATTAAGTGTATGATCTGTTTTCTTTCCAACCTGGAGGCCATCACTCCATTGTCACTAAGATTTTGAACAGAAATCAGTGGCTCTGTGGGGAATTCCCACTTTGTTATTCCTGAAGGGTTGAGAGCCACGGTGTAGCTCACTAATGGCTCTCGTTACAGCAAGCTTTTGTTGTCTTAGCCAATAACTTGATAGTAGAGGGCAAAATGACATGCAACAAAAGAGAATGGATTTTGCCCCCAAAAGTAGTACCTTTGTGGCACCTTTATACTGCTCCCCAAACATATGTAGTTCAGCTGAAACTGTGTGGAGACAAGGTCTTCAGGGACAGAATGAGCCTTGCCACTAGGCAGAATAAGGCAGCAAATCAGAATTTGGAAGTAACTACATAGAAGGAATGCAGTTACCTGAAACTAGTTATTTTTTGCACAGTGAGTGGTGTGTTTAGTAGTTACAAATTGGCTGTTGGGTATAATGAGCAACTGAGTAGGCCTACAGCATCTGCAGTTTTAGATATATCTACATAAGTAAAAGTTCCAGAAAGTAATTTTTCTTCTAAAATAAAAGGTGGATGTTCAGGGGAAAGGCCTGGAATCCCCATAAAGATGCCAGTCACAATAAACCAAATAACTGAAAATTTGTGAGCTTTAATTACCTATTCCAAATCAACTCCCTGATGATGGGGCATGATAAGGGGAGAGAGGGATGATAGTGACAAGCTCTGAAGGTTGGGTGCTCAATTGATTCCAGATTTTACTCTGAAATTTATGGGCACTATCCAAGTTTCTGAGCTCTATCCTTAAAAAGTGCTTCAGCACTTCAGATCACTCCTTTGGTGTTTGCATTTAAAGTTAGGTGTAGATTTCTGGTCCGATGACATTAGAGCCACCAAGCTCCACTTAGCAGTGGCCCTCTGTTTCTAATGCTGTGCAGAGTCATACTGTTTTAACCTCTCTGTACACAAACACCCCAAAATACAATGCTCCAGAACTGGTTGGACACCTGGTTCGGGAGGAACTTTCTGAGACTCTCAGAAAAGTGTACCTTTAAGCATTTTAACAGCAACTGTTTTGCACGTTGAAGATTTATCTATGCCAAAAGCAGACGCCTCCACCACTTTCCCAAAAGCACCATGACCCAGAGTTTTACCTAGAGAAGCAAGAGGAAAGAATGAGCCAAACTGTACCAACAACCGTTTGCATCAGACAGGAGCAGGGCTGTGTGTAGAGTGATGGCCAAATAATAGCAAGTTTCAGTTCTGTGGTAAAGTGTAACAAATTTACAGACTGATTTGTGTCCAGACTATAAACCGGACCAGATGATGCACAACCTAATTCAACTTTCTGTGTTTTTTTATATCAAACTTTAAAGATGCCTTATATGCAAGCTCTAAAAACTAGCTGTCGAAAATTCATCAGATCTATGCCTCCGAATTTCATGTGCATCAGTGCAAAAACAATAAATTACAGCCTTTATGGTTTGCCCATGCAAGTCAATGGGAGGCCTACAAACTGACTCAGCTCTAGAGCAGAGTTTAAACTGAATAAGGCACAGATTTCTCAAAATTGAATTTGCTTACATTTAGATATCTAAATAGTCCTCTGGAATGAATCAGGGTATCTTTGCAGCACCTATAAGGGCACAATTTATTTTAAAAAGCAAAGAAGCAAGCTAAAGTTCTTGGGATGCTCAAGAGTCTGCCTTTTCTGCTTTGCACAGAATTACCACCTACACACAGCCCTGGATATACAAGAGAACATGCTTTTTTTTCAGTGCGAAAGGAGCAAAACACTAAAGCCTCGGTCCTATGCAGCAGAAAGACCAGAAGTCCACAAAAGGCCTGTATCACATGCCAGAACATATGTATAAACTACGTAAGAGTTTATGAACATATGTGGTGATACAGTTGCCTCAATGGGAACATACATTGCAAAGAACATGAAGATGATTGGAGTTAGCTCTCGGGAGTGAGGATATTCCAGAATTCAGACTGTGTTCGGAAGACTTTGCAAAATGTTAAAAGCAACTGCATGCTACAGTTTTCTCATTCCGCTGAATCAATGTTGCTCAAACTCTCACCCATACAATTTGGTTATAACCAGTATAATACATTCTGAGATCTATGATGTGTTCCAGAATTTGGTTATAAACAAATTTAATTTGATTAGCAACCATAGTCAGAAAAATATATTATTAAAAAGTAGACTTTGTAATGCTCCACCAAAATACAAAAATTAGTGATTCTCCACTGTTGCTACCAATATTTTATTAAAAAAGGAGAGCCACTTAAGTATGCTTTTGAGTTAACAAAGCATTTTCTGGAAATGCTGACAGTTGTACTGATAAATTCTGAGGTCTATGATGTATTCCAGAATTACTATAACACTAATTATTGTTCTTATGAAAAAGTGTATAGGGTGAACAAAACATTATTTGTCTTCTATGGTTGAGGACATTCCTGTTATAGAAATGATAATGTTTTCCTCTGCAGAAGAATGTAACAGCTGCATCTAAAGACCTTTCTTAGGATCTTTCCATATCCATGTACAGACTTCATGACAGTGGTATAAGCAATCAGTCATAAATTGGGAAGTGCACATAGTCATAATGAGACTCCCACAGCTGTCCCTTTGCAACAGAAGACCAAAAACACAGTTAACTGGAAAGCACCATATAAACAAATAAGTTCTACTAATTTTGTTTCCATCAGGAACAGACCTTTTGTAAAGTTAAGATTCCATTCAGAATCTACCTTCAGATGCTTTGTATTACAACAACTGTAGCTTGGAACAATATCATATACACAGGAAAATCCACTTCTCTCCCAACTACGGTGAGGATTCTGGCTAAATACAGACAGGACAGGGACATTGAGGGTGGTGAATAATGTCACAGTCCCTCTTAAGCAGAATTTTTTAGGGTTTAAACCCCGTGACCTCTGCCTCCATTGCACCACTGGGCATATGTGTATTCCCCACAAATTCCCCACAAAAATGGTGAACTGAATTGGAAGCCATTAATTTGTAGAAGGTGCCAGCCAGATCAATGGCTTTCAAAGAAACTGTGTTGGGCTTCTCTAATGCCAAGTCACATGTGGACTGATTTCACCAAAGATAATTTTCAGACTTTTACTGAACCTTTTTTTGAAACATGTAGCTGCAGCAGGAGAATGAGAAATATGTCTTAGGGCATTTTTTCAATTTCTCCTGAACAGTGTTGAGGCACAAAAAACATGCTCTGTTCTCCACAGGAAATAGAGACCAGATCTTTTATTGGGGTAATCGGCTCTAGAGGTAGATCAGGCTTATCTACTTCGATTTTTCTTTTCTTTTCACAAAACATCAAGATTTATCAGCCAGAGCCAGCCACAAAAGATAGAGATTTAGCATTAAAGAACAGGGTGCAGCTGACCACTTTCCGAAAATAGGGATTTGATTCTTTCTTTCTTTTTAAATACTAGACCTTACAGTCTTCCCACACAAAAAAATTAATCTCAAGCCTTTTTTTCATTTCTGCAAATGGAAAAGTATTTTATTGCTGCTTTTGTTAAAGAAACAGGTAGGCAGAATCTCTTGGTGATTTATTGCAACTCCTGCAGAAATTTACTAGTCAATGATCTGTTCATCACACTTCTTGCAGTGGTGCTCCCCAAAATGGTGAAACCATCTATTTGTTTTCCTTGCATATTTCGTGGTCGAAATGACTAGATAGGCGGGGTATAAATACAATAAACAAACAAACAAATAAATAAATACATAAATATTTTTAACTTTGCGTATTTTATTTGGTGAGTGGTTATTGGAAGGTAAGCATGGCCTTAATTTGCAAGTCTGATTGTTGAGGCAAGTATCTCTGAGGAAACCGTCTCATGGGAAAGCAGGTAGATTCATCATATAGAATATATATTCCTCTTAATATCTTAGAAATTGTTCCAGGTCCGTTTTTGGAATGTAAATGGGCTGCAGGAACAGATAAAATGAAACAGACACAAGTTCCCTGTGGAGTGAAACTCTGAGAACCACTGTGCTAGACTTTAGATGCTAGACTACAGTTCTCAAATGTAAGGTATCACTCTTACTGGAGGCAGTCCATGCATCTTACCCAGCCGCAGCCTGTCTCTTGGGAATTCCCATTTGCTGCTGTCATATGGGAGACGATCACATTGCTCATCAAGGGGCATCTCCTCAGGATCCATTATGATTGACAAGTATCCTGTTTTGATATCTGTGGCATCTGGCTACAATGGGTCAGGAAAGAACCCAACAGTTAACTTGGAAATTGCTGCTAGATTGAAAGCTAAAGAGGAGAATGTCTAACAAAATGAGCACTTTAATGGTCTGAAGGGACAAGAACTTCATCCACACAAATAGGTCTGGGTCTGAGTCATTTGGGGTGTGTATGTTGTGCTCCTTTAGGATATACATAGGAACATGCACAGGCATTTGTTTCATCACCTGTGGTGAGTTGAATGCTTCTCCAGGACAGTAGCCAAGTAACTAATTAGAGATGTTTTTGTGAAATTAGTAGAATTATGCAAGATTTGAAAATAAAATAAGGAGAGGATAATGATAGTGTTCAGTTAGTAACAGACATTATATCTGTATTACACAACCATGTATTAAAGACATTCATGTTATCTGAATTGCCATTAAGTAGGCAGATCAGTGCACTGAACTCTTCTGCAAATTCCTAAAGCTGAAGGATATATGTTATATTAAAAACATTTCAGTATATTGTTGAAGCCTAGAACTTTCTGATAACTTTTCCACATGTTTTAGCCTGGGAAACCGGAGTTCCAGAAACAGGTCTGTGTTCTGATATCCTGCTCCAGCCATTTTCTCCTCCAAGATTATTTTTGTGGCATTAAGTGTTGTTTCAGCTACATGCTATTCTCCTTCTGGTCACAATGAACATGTATTAAGTTATCAGAACACTAGAGACAACTGCATTAATTGGAAGATGGTCGGATATTTCTCCTTCCCACTTCTAGGTGGCTGATAGACCAAAATGGATGAATACAGACATGCGTGAGCAGGCAGTTTTGAGCAAGTTATTTCATGTTAGTAACTTTCATGGACTTATTTTGCAGACCAGAATGAATGTATTTTTTGCTATTATGCTAATGCTTTCCAGCAGAAGCCAGAAATGCCTGAGAGGTGACCCTGCTAAAAAACCACAAATATATAATTAGAAATTGTGACAACCCATCATGGCAACTTACCCCAGTTCATTAAATCAAAGACAATAAGAGCTGGAATAATTCCGGTAGTTTTAAGCTGGTGCTCTTTGCACCTCATTAGCGTGGGAAGATATTCTCCCAATGGTTTAACATTATGCAAATGAAGTGGAACAAATCCAAGGAAAGTCCTGATCTCACATCCTCGCTGCCTCCCATGAGCCAGGAGAAAGATTTTGTCGATGTTTAGGTTTATTTTCTGCAGTCCAGCTGACGCATGTGAATCCAAGGTTCATGATTTATCAAAAACTCTGGTCAGTTTTAAAACAAGTTAAGGTCAATACTTTATGAATCTGACTTCTTCAACTGTCTTGAGTTTGTGATTAACCATGATTGTTGGTTTGCTTGAAGTAACAACCCAAGAATAGGGGAAAGCGAAATGAAACACTGGGCAAACATTCTGCTCATTGCACATGAAAAAATGAAAGAAAGTGGACAAATGGGAGCTTGAAGCTTTTCTCAGGCTTACTCAGTTTTTCTATAAACTATTCCACAAGGCTCTATTTGAGGTAATCAGCTGTTCAGAGTTAATTAAATTAATGTTAAGTTCAATTCTGTGAACTTTGTTTCAGCTTTTAATGGCCTATATCCAATTGTTAGTCCCAACTCCCAACAGGAGTAAATCCGTTGAACCAGTGGAAACTTACTAGACTACATAAGTTCAATTGATTCAGTGGCCTTCTCTAGTTTGATTTAATGAATCATAATTCATACTTGGTTGCTATAATTTCAAATCATACATTTTTATACAGTGGGGTCTTGACTTGAGAACTTAATCCGTATTGGAAGGCGGTTCTCAAGTCAAAAAGTCTGTAGGTCAAGTCTCCATTGACCTACAGTGCATTGAAAACCGATTAATCCCGTAACAGGCCGTTTTTGTTTCATTTTGGGTTTTTTCTGGTCTGTAAGTCAATTCTCAGGCTGCAAGTCAAACCTAAATTTTGCGGCCAGAGAAGTCTGTAACTCAAAAAGTCTGTAAGTCAAGCCGTCTGTAAGTCAAGGGTCCACTGTACGTAACTCAGTTGTATAGCTCTTGTCTACATGTTCTTAAGAATGCATTGTTGACTCATCAGTCCTAAAATTTTGTTTCTACCACCACCAAGAGACAGACTGGAAATAAATAAACATAAATCAGTTCTGTGTTTTTAAAACAATTCCTCTAGAGTAGCTCTGTTCACTAAAGAGAGTGCTGTAATAAAAGTAAAATGGCACAAAGGATTCTGAGTCAGTAAGTTCTAATATAAACCTATGTAGTGCTGTTACTTTGCAAGAAGGCACTGATAATTACAAACATCCAATATTCCCAATCTCTTTCAACATCTTAGAAACCAATAAAGATCACATAAGTCAATCTTTCCTTCTAGCACTTTTGCACAAGGAAAGAATACTGGATTTTCCATGGAACTTCATAAAGTGCCCCAGTCATTCTGAAAAGTCACTGAGAAATCAAGAAATAAAGGAGCAATGGATATGAATGAATTCTGGATCCTCAGCTAAGGTTGCAAGAAAATGGATGGAGACTTTTAAGTTGAGGCACAAGCCAAATTCTTCTTTGACTGTAAGCATACTAGCTGCTCATAAGGGATTGAGTAAAAATTTCTCCAAGCACTGAATTTTAAATTAATTTCCACTCCATAAGTCACAACATATTTTAATTCTTTATCACACTGAGCTAGTTCAGAGCTTGGAAACATTATTTTTTGGACTATAATTTCCATAGTCCCCCGATCAGCAATGCTGACTTGGGGATTCTGGGAACTATAATAGAGAAGCTAACACTTCCAAGTTGTGAGATAGATAGCTTGGTATATAACCCATGTTCCACTGAACTGTGTGGCAAAATCTCAACTGTCTTGGAAGCTGGAGTCCAAAAGCATTTTTCCAAGCTGAGCTTGGCACTGCAAAAGATGGCGGTTACTACTCTGAAGAAGCTTCAGACAATAAGAAAAAGAGGGAGCACATTTCTAAGCTTGGAATAGGATGGAGGGTAGTCTTACTTTTCTTAGTTTCCGTATGAAGAGGGTCAGGAGGAGCCAGAAGAGTGTAGCAGCTAAACCAGTGCAAACCAAAATGATTACTTCAATATTGGACTTTTCCTCAGAGCCTGGGAACAAAAAATGGACATTGTTATCAGAACTGAGCTCAGTTCTTCCTTTCTACAGTCTGCACCTTGTTAATTAATAAAACACATGGGTAAATGTTGCTAATCTTGCATGATTAAGGTGGCACTTCAGTAGCAAGGGTACCGGCCAGAAGCCATTTGGGAAGAATCTTGTGCCTTTCTGAGTGGTGTTTGAAAGGGACTGTCAGAGGCATAACCTTGGGATGTGAGAGCCAATGCAGCATAGTGGATAGAGTGATTGCCGAGCACTTAAGTGGCAGAACAAAAGGATGCATGTTAGGATGAAACTTCCAAATGTTTGGATTGGACCTCTCTTTAGGTCACTTCTGTAAAGTGTCAGGGCACTGAATTAATATGAACTATAATGCCATAGTACTGGGGACGTGGTGGCGCTGTGGGCTAAACCGCAGAAGCCTGTGCTGCAGGGTCAGAAGACCAGCAGTCGTAAGATCGAATCTATGCGATGGAGTGAGTGCCCGTCGCTTGTCCCAGCTCCCGCCAACCCAGCGGTTCGAAAGCATGCAAATGCAAGTAGATAAATAGGAACCACCTCGGTGGGAAGGTAACAGCATTCCGTGTCTAAGTCGCACTGGCCATGTGACCATGGAAGATCGTCTTCGGACAAAAACGCTGGCTCTATGGCTTGGAAATGGGGATGAGCCCCGCCCCCTAGAGTCGAACATGACTGGACAAAAATTGTCAAGGGGAACCTTGACCTTTACCTGTAATGCCATAGAATGGGCCAAGATATGTCTTTATAAGAAAATCAAATGTAGGTAGGTATCATTATAAATTACAGAGGGGGCTATTATGCCAAGGACCCTCTCAAGGGCACCACCAGCATTAACACTAGTGCATGGATCATATAGTTGTAGTTTCTAGTAGGGCCAGACTCATCTGTTTGGCACTTTATTTGTCCATTTCTGCTCTCAAAATGTTTTGGGAATTTTGGGGTCCACAAATTGCCCCAGTGTTACAGCCTTGATCTGGATAAGAATTCTTTGGTGGTGGGAGCGCTAAGGTGCCTTAATCCTAAAGTCCCCACTCCAGTCCCAATCTGGACCCACCTCCCACATCTGCATCACAAAATGAGTTCCATTGAAAAGAAATACTTTGCCTACATGACCTGGTGCAGATTCTTTCCTCACTTATATTTCAACTTTCCTGGGATATGCTTATAATACTATCTTGGATGCTCTAAATCACTGGTTTTTAACCTTGGGTTACTCAGGAGTTTTGGACTGCAACTCCCAGAAGCCTTCACCACCAACTGTGCTGGCTGGGGTTTCTGGGAGTTGCAGTTCAAAAACATCCGAGTAACAAAGGTTAAGAACCACTGCTCTAAATCAAGCTAGGTAATTTGTGGAGTTACACATGTTATTGGGCTGCAGCCCCATCATCCTTACCAGTGGTTTGCTGGCCAGAACTGGTGGGAACTGTAGCCCAACCACATCTGGAATGGTCGAAGATCATCATTTCCCTCATGCCTGTTCTAAACTGTTGGTCTGTCTGATCACATAATCTACTTTTACAATCTCACCTTCTATTTTAATAAACGCCTGGGTACTGTCTTGGCCCATTTCATTGATGGCCTTGCACTCATAGCGGCCCTCATCATCCTTTTTCACTCGCTCAATCACCAGTGTGTTGTTTTCCATAGAAATTCCTGGTGGGAAAGAATCGAAAGTCATTTTGACATGTACTCCAGGACTTTCTAGGAAGGTTTTACAAAAATGTTATTGGCATTAGAATTCACTGGCAAACATCACACAGTAGAAGCAGAAAGGAATACAAGGTTATGGGGAAGATGCCTTATCCTCAGATTCAGATCACTGGCTCATGTACTCTGAATGGCAGAACCTCTCCAGGGTTTCTACCACAGCATTTCTACCACAGCATTTTAGAAGGAGATGGATTAGTCTGTCTAAAGCCAAAGGTTTATCTGATTCTAAAATTGGAACATGGGAGAGATCAATGTGGTTTGCAGCAGCTGCCAGATCTGGCAGGGCCAAATTGTCCTTTAAAGATAAATTGCAAAAAGGAGAGAGAACTCCTTAAGTGCGGAGAATTTCTGATTGTCAGAACAGGAGCTTTTCATGCTTCCCTTAGTTTGTTCATTACTATGATTTGCTTTGCGATTGGTTTTCAGGAGGGAAACACAGGTGTCATTTGTAATTATCGACTGTCCCATCAGATATCTCTGTCAGGATCACATCTCTTGAACCCTAACAGATTTCCACTTCTAATGATGGGCTACCTAAAATGTATAGTTTGGCCCACAGTGGTGGTCACCATCTCTTAGGATGCTGGCAACAACTACCTTTTCCTCATAAATTCTGTCCCCTGTGGACAATGCTACAGAAACAAATACTATCTTTCTCCGGGTCTTCTGGGGAACTTTTCTTTTTCCTGCTGTGACCAGTGTGACCAAGAGGCAGAACCAAAGGGGTATCTGAACAGCAGATGACATAAAGATGCAGAACCCCACTCTCTCATCATTTGAAGGAAGTGAAGAGGTAGGACTAGATAGAGAGAAGCAGGCTTAAGTCTCACTGGGTTGAAGAGCAGGATTGGGTCCCCCAAGTGCAACCTGGAAATTCAGAGATGCCACTATTGATAACACTGTTGTAAGGAGTAGTTACAAAACTTGGATAAACTCCATTTTTGGTCAACCTGAACCCAGAATCCCTCAGTTGGTAGCGACATACCAGCTAAGGGATGCTAGGTACTCTGGTGCCAAAAAGTAACTTTTCCATGCTGTGTTGATATTCATCTTGCCTTCTGTTCTATTCTTCCCAACCCCCATTAACAGACGACCTGCATTCCCCTGCACATTACTTTGCAATGACAAGGACATTTTACATGTGTCTTCTGCCTCTCTGAAGGAGAGATCACCTTGTAATCTCCCCTACTGTTCTCTTTCATTCTTCACTTCCTTGCCAACACAAGATGCATTTTCTAAGAAAATCTGTTTTTCTAAGGAGGTGTCATCACAAAGCAGGCAGAATCCACTGGGACTGGCATCTGAAAAGGGATAGATTTACGTTTGGCAATGTGTCTTGCTTATGAATACTGCTGTTGTTAACATAAGCTCTGCGTGCAAGTTGTGCAAGTTACCATGCCGAGTGCTGAAAATTTCACCTGGAGGTGTTTTCTCTCTCCAGATATTTTATTTATGTTTCCATTGGCTGGATGAGTTACATGCTTGTCCCTCTGGAATTATTTATGAAAGTTCAGTAGCTATAAAGAGTCTCTGCCCAGAACAGCCTGATCTGAATTATAGATGATCCTCTCTTTCTAACCCATGAAGGAAAATTAAAGACACAGGAACAGCCCCTTAACAGGACTGGGAAAGTTATCACTTGCAAGGGGGGCGGATAGCTGAAGGTTTTCACCTTTACAGTGCAGAAATGGTCAGACTGACTTTTGAGACATGTATGGGAAACACCCTAGTGGATCAAGACAAATGCAGCATTTTAATGTCAGTGGATGCATTTCACTGCCCTTAAAATAGATATTTTTTTCAGTTCTAGAGCAATCCTTTAAGTCTCAAACCTGCAAGTATTCAATCTTAACTGGGGAAAAGTGCCTCTTCCCTTCTCTCTGTGTTACAGTTATGATGGATGCCTATTGGCTAGTAACTGTGATGTTATACACACATACTTTAAAATATCTTTTTGTTACACAAAGTTTGTGTGAACTTATCTCTTTGTTACATATACAATTTATAGGCATCAACTAAAAATGTCTTTTTGCAAGTTTTTTTGTACCTAAGCAAGCATTTAACTGTTTTGCTGCCTGGTCTAATTATCTTTTAAAAAACTGTATTTGATGAAATGTGGGTTATACTTTCTGAGCTGTGATTTGAGAACTGTTTCATGTAGGTTGTCAGCCCCCCTTGGCTCCTGCAAGGAGGGACTGGTTACAAATCAGATTCAATCAACCAATAAATCTAGAAAATCAGGTATTGGAGCTCATATTTTCCTCTACCAGCTATCTCTCAGCCAGATGCCCTTCTAGATGCATTGGACTACAACTGCCACCAGCCTCAGACAGCACTGCCATTGACCTGTTGAACAGGATAATGGAATTTGTCCCCATCACATCTGGAGGGCAGCATGTTGAGGAAGACTGAACCAAATGATTTATATTAGGAAGGTTAAGTCTCACCAAATGACCCATAATTCAGGTTTATAGCTGCTGAGTGCATTTGTACTGTGCACTGCTAGGTTAGATTCTTGTTATCTTTAGTCTACAATCTTATATACACTTCAAATGCCATTGAAGTTGCTTAATAATCTTATCACTACTGAAATAAATAGGGACTATGGAACCATTATAATTCTTGCATGTAGCCAGCATAGCAGGGCTGGTTTTATTTATTGATTTGAATTATTATTTTGTCTCATATCCTGCCTTCCTCCCAGTAATGGGAGGCAGCCCATAACAAGATTTTAAAAATGCAGAGAAAATCAGACAAAAAGTTATATTGCTAACATAAAATGAAAATAATTATAGTACTAACACGCTATTGAGTTACAAAGCCATTTAAAAACACATTTAACATCAACAGTGATAAGAAGATAGCATCAGTCCATTAAAAGCCCCATTCTCTGCAGCCTGTCAATTCCCCAAATGCTGCCTGAATGGAAAAGTAGTTGCTTGCTAGCACAAAGACAACAGGGTAAGACCAACATAGTGTCCCTGGCAGGGTAGTGGTTCATAGCTGGGGAGAAGGAATCTCAGTATGATCACCATGTGAAAGAAAGCATTATCCTCTCCTCCCAAGGAGGTCAGTTGTGTTAGTCAAGAACAGAAGACCAACAGTGTTGTAAATATTAAAATATTTGAGCAATATTAGCTTACCTGAAGCTGGAGCAATTGGATAGCCATTTTTCAACCAGCCAATAATAGGTTTGGGTGTCCCGTTTGCTTTGCATTCCAGCACAATCTTCCCACTGATATTCACTTCCAGGTCTGTAAAGTTTTCCACAATGTAGGGCACCGTCTTAACTGCAAAGAGAAATGAATACTCTTAAGGCCACATCCACCAAAACCCTTCCATTTCCATCAGAGCTATGCCTAGTATTTCTGGAACCCAGGATAACCAACTTCCTCTCCCATTCATTCCACCTTGAAGAAAGGGTGCAAATCGCCACCCTAAAAAAAAAAAAAAAGTGGTGGTGATGGAATTTTGCTTTCCAAAAGGGTGGTGGTGGATGAGAAATGAGGTCAGGAGGTCTTGCTGTTTATTTTCTCAGCATTCACCAGTAGAAAGTGCTGGATAGCTTAGGGGTTTAGATATCTGGCTGTAGAGCTAGAGCCAGAGGTTGGGAATTCAATTCCCTGTTTTGCCTCCTTGACCAGGGACTGGACTCATTGATCCACAGGGTCCTTTCCAACTCCACAGTTTTGATGATGATGATGATTCGCCTCTAGATTTATATGCCATTTATATTTTGATGCCCTGGGGAAAAGCCCCTATTGCTCCACCTTGGTTATGGCCCTGATTTCTGGTCTAGTATGTCTCTAATTAATGGCCAATATTTCTTTTAAAAAAATTAAAATTATAAGGACTTGTGAAGAGGTATGAGAATCAAATTAGAAATACAACACAACATACAATGGACACCTGTGGATACACAGGTATCCACTGAGCATTTAACATAAAGATGAATGATATTCCTCTATCAGAGGAAATGTTATTACAAAAAGACGACAACGAAAGTATTGTGGTGAAATTAACACATTAATTTCAGTGTGAGTTGCCCCGGATTACAATCCACTTCTCCAGACAAACAGAGCACAAAGCCTGGGCTGCAGATTTATAAACAGTGTTATGAGGTGGTGAGGATGAGAATGGGACTATTCATGGCTGTGGTGAAGGGAAGGTGGGGACAGGACCAAGTCGAAGGACCTTTGCCTCTTAACACTTGCTAATGAGCTTCCAAGGTGATAATGCTCTTCTTTTACCATCCTCCCTTTACTATTTTATTTCTACCATCAGGTTGCTATCTAAGGAAGGAGAGCTGGGGCTTTACGGGGTATACCCCTTTCCTGGCAGGCAGCCTCATCTACTGCCTTAGTGTGGCTGCATCTTAAGTTATTGCAATAAACATTTATTGGAGTTCTGTCCAAAGGAATGCCATGCAAGGCTACAAAACTGAATGAAACCAATACAATTAAAATGGAAAATTAGTTAACAAAAGCAAAACATATCAGTAAAAGAGACAGCATCAAACCATTTAAAGGTTCATTCCCTAGCAAACCAGCTTCATTTTCCAAAAGGCTGTCTGAATAAAACAATCTTTCCCTTCTGAGGGAGACCAACAGGATGGCCTTCCCTGCTAGGGAGTTGTAAATCACAGTCCAATGAGAAAACTGAGGTGACCAGGATGAGTAGTGAGCAGGAAGCTGGTTTTGTCCCACAAAACCCAAGAGTGAACATGATCACAAACAAAAATTCATTTATGAGAGAAAGCATTACTTTCAGATGCCCGAAGCATCAGTCCCTTTCAACAGCATTTGACTTTCTTCTCAGATCCTCCTTTCCCCCCTTTGAAGTGCTAATGAGTCAGCAGAAATAGAGGACTGTCTTTTCATCTAGCTTCTTTGGCCATTTTATTTCTATCCTCAAGAAAACATTGGACACTTGCAAACCTTTTCTCCTCTCTGTTCTTTCCTCTTCTGTTCCCAGTCAATAGGCCCAGGAAATGGGATCATCCCGTCGTAATGGTAGGTCTATCTTTTTTTTCCCACATGTAATTCTCACTAGTTTTACTCCCAAGAATGGTAGTTTGGAAAACATGTTGAGAATTCTTAGATGATCTCACCTCACAAACAGAACTACTGAGGATGATTCCTTTCTTTGACGTATGTGAATTCCAACTTTCCTCCATCGAGCTCTATCTTGCCTACATGGCTCTCATCCTCCCCACTTTCAAGTCAGAACAACCCTCTGAAGTCTACTTTGTTATGTCTGATTCTGGAATTAGGCATGCAAAGGAATCAAATTAATTAATACCTGTGTCACACATGCCTCACCTTTTAATGTATATGCCTTTTTCACCACTTGAGGGAGCACTCCTTCTAAAAATGGATTCGCCCAAAATGTGCTTTGGCCCTGAATTCTAGTGGGGATTACTCGCAGCTAGCTAGATGAGGGATTGCAGCTCAAACTGTTTCTCAATGCAAAATGTCTTGCAAATGAATAAGTCAAAAAGCTCTTTTCAACCTCTTGACATTCTTGGTAAAGAAACTTCTGTTGGTAGGTTTGGGAAGTAAAGATGGCAAATCTGACAAAACCCAACTCAACAGTGTAGTTTATTGAGAACCAATCCAGCTCAAGTCTCTCTACCTGCTTTTGAGTCAGAAAAGAATCTGGGTATAGCTGCATGACGCTTATTAAAATTAATATGTAGTTTGTCACTAAAACATATCAATGAAAGGATATATTTTGTTCGGTGAGTTTGAAAAGGGCAAGCAGACAAACCTGTGTATTCTCAAAGGCTTTCATGGCCAGGATCTGATGGTTGTTGTGGCTTTTTTGGGCTCTTTGGCTGTGTTCTGAAGGTTGTTCTTCCTGACGTTTCGCCAGTCTCTGTGGCCGGCCTCTTCAGAGGACTGGAGGAGTCCAGTCCATCTTCAGAGGACTCCAGTCCTCTGAAGATGCCGGCCACAGAGACTGGCGAAATGTCAGGAAGAACAACCTTCAGAACATGGCCAAAGAGCCCCAAAACCCACGACAACCATCAGACAAACCTGTGTTAGTAATCTACTGAGAACATTTCCCTTAGTCTGTTTCTGAAATGATAGACAAGACTTTATCCATCATCAATGCCAAAGAGTTGAAGTAGCTTAGCCCTGCTTTGGTGAACCCAGGATCATTTCGATGTATTAGACTACTTCATGTTTTATCATCTCCAGGTAGCAGGGCTGATGGAAGCTGGAATTCAATACATCTGGATGGCTATAGTTTGGGGAGGGTTGTCAAAAATATTTTGAGATTCTTCCCCAGGAAACAGCCTGCCCTTTTCAAATACCCTCAATTACTCAGGTAAAATACCTAATACCTACCTAGAGACAATAGCATCCTGACAAGAAGGCTGCTGCTATGTAGTGATTGAAAAAGTGGGGCTTGGGATCTTCATTTTGTTTTGCTAAGGAATCTCTCCTTCCCCTCCCCTCCCAGCAAAAGAAGCAGCCCATCAAGTGGTCAGGTAAGGAGAACCCACAGCCTTTCAACTTCCGCTCTTTGGGTTTTTAATTGCTCCTGTAAACGTGGGCATTGTTTCTCACTTCCATTTGTCATGGTTCTGCATTGCAGTCAGCAGCAAAGAATTTGTCTGGTAACCCAGTTCCTCCTGGCAACTCATAAAGAGCTGGCAGAAACCACCTTATTTATGCATTTCCACATCCTTTTCATTAATAACTAGCAGACACCAGGGTATAACTGATGGGTGTTGTAATACCACTCATATCATTTGTTGGGTGAAATTTCAGAGGCTGTTCTCAATTGGGCAAAGATGTCAATTCTTGCTTCCTTCCTGTTATCCTTTTTATTTTTATTTTTAAAAAATCCTCTCTTTTTTTCTGCTTCCTTCCACATTTCTGTTTCTGTTTCCAAGGCTCATTAATACTGTAATGAAGAAGATGCTTTTAAAAAACCACACAACTGCCACAATCTTATCTGCTTTTCACAATGCATGGAAGCAAAATTGCAGAAGGTGTAGTGGCTAATTAACAAGGTGCCAGTCACATGCTGGACACATGACCAAATGCACAACCAGGCATGCAAACAGGCACAGAACCAACATGCCACAAGCACCTCATCCATCAGCCACAGCAGTTTCTCTTCTTTTTGTGGTAAGGCAATAGGATTCTGGCCTACCATTCTGGGATTACATAAATGGGGTTGGGGGGGTCATCCATCATGTGTCAGGTGACAGTATTTGCTGGGTGCACATCACAAAGCTTGATGTTGCAAGTTACACATATCAGTCCTAGGAACGTGGTCAGCTCAACAATGTTCCTATGTCAAGTCTAAGATGCCACAAACCTACTGGACCCACCTTTGATGTTGAGCATGGTTCCCTTCTCCACTCCCTCAGTGCTGTTTGGATGAACTTGTGCTCTGCATTTGTATAGCCCAGCTTGGGATTGTGATACATTCTTGAGGCCCAAAGTCAAGGAGATAGAATAGTTGTCAACTTTCTCTTGTGTCAAGGCTTCAGGGATTTGCTGCAAGGTGGGGTCATACCAAGACAGATGGTTGTAGATGTATTTGGAAGACTTGCAGGTCATCTGGACGTTGCTTGTCACAATGGCTGTGATTTGTGGATCAGTCTGTAGGACTGATGGTACATCTGAAATAAAAAGAAAGAAAGGACACTGGATGGCAGTGGTTGCAAGGCAGCTGAGAAGATGGATTGCTTTGGGATTGGAGAACAACATTTCATAAATCAATGAGGGTGAACAAATATATATCCATTTCCCTAAAGAAGATTGCAAGGAAATCATGTGTGCCAGAGAGATGAAATAGACATTAAAGGAATGGGTTTATCCTCTTATTAACACATTTTCCCTTCAAAATTGTTGCTTGCCTCAACAGCCAGAGATCAATTGCAAAACAATGCACACTAAATACAAGGTACATAGTTGCAGAAAATCATGTGCTGTGACAAACAAATGACTTTCCCCTCTTGAAAGAGTCACTATGCCAACGAACCATCTAGCCCAGTGTTGCTAACATTGGCTAGCAGTGGCTCTCCAGCGTCCCAGACAGGAGTTTCTCCAGCCATAACTGGAGATCCCAGGGAAATGAGCTGGGGCCTTCTCCTTGTAAGGTAGGAGTCCTCCCACCTGAGCTCAGGACTTCCCTTCAGTTGCTAACACTTTCCACAACTTTTGACAATCTTTGCCATTCTGGTGGTCTGCATTTATATGGCAGTTCCATCCAAAATTAATGAACAGAGATTATTCCCTCCCCCCCCCCAATTTATATAAAGGGCAGGGTCTGAGGATGTAAGAATTACATTTATTCCCTAAGGAATAGTGAGATACAGGCAGTGATAGGTCTAGAGGGTGGTGATGGTAATGATGGTGATAATGATGATGATCATTACAATTTAATAGTGAGAAATAGACTGGTAATCCTTTTTACAAAGCATGAAGTGTTGAGGAAAGGTGTACATTCTGCTTCTGCAAGATCTTGAGATTACATGAAGTGAGTGATAGCTTTGCTAATCAATCTGAAACAATGCAGGCCTTTTTACATCTCTCATAAATATGCCAGGAATTGACAAACACCCTGGGGCAACCCATTGTAGCTGCTCCCTTTTGAGGCCCCAACCTCCAGTCTTATCTAATATCTGTTATGTAGAACTTTTAACATTCTTTGTGAGGTTAAGAAGCCAACCCCAAGGGCCATACCCCAGTAGCAACTTATTTGGGGCAAGCTGCCCTGAAATGAATCAGACCTGAGTAGGTTTCTGTTCCACAGGGCCTCATGATGGAACATCTCCAACTAGATGATTCCTAAGGTCTCTCCTAAACTAGATAAAGATCAAGAGGTGATTAAGATGTGGTTTTGGTGGCTCATCTCCTTGCATATCAATAAACAACAGGGCTTGCAAACAATTCAAGCAGGTATGGATTCCCCTTATTCTGTTTGTGAACCTCTTCCTCAGGCCCCCTTCCAGCACTGTTCTTATCTCCATTCAACCAGCTGGGATTTTCCAGGCTTCCTTCAGGGCAGAGCAAAGAAATGGCACTGTCTTCTCTGATCAATAAACAGAGAAATGGAAGAGTGAAAAGCTCTGGGCCACCATTTTTTCCAAGCATCTTTTTATGCCCTTGAAAACTTTTCTTCGTAAATTAGCATTATTTTTTCACCATTTAAACAAAAGAGAAACATAGCCTCAAAACATAAATAAATGGGTACCTTCAAGTCTCAATCTCAAAGATTAAAGTTGTAGGGTTTTTTTTAAAACCTGTCTTCTAAACTGCCTTAGGGTTTTATGGTTATACATATGACAAACTAAGCTCTCTTTCAGTCCAATTATATCTTCAGTGGCTTGTAGCCCTATAACTACAAGAAACTGCCCTATTCAAAGCCACTTAATCCAGCTCCCTATTAGTAGGCAGCCACCTTGGGCAACTTATTTTAGTTATCATAAAGAGACAGAGGATAGTTACTGGATTTATCATTATTGCCTTTTCACTATCAGAGAGCTGAAGAACTGCCCATCGGACACTCTTCTTCAGGTAGCCAAATAATTTGGCATGACTCCTTCACTCAGGCAGTGCAAAGTCTTGGGCTGGCTCTGCTGAGTCAGATCACTGGGCCATCATGGGGTCAAACTAGACAACAGAAGATCTTCAGAAGCTGAACTTTCTCAAGAAGTGAAGACCAGCTGTTCATCATGGCGTGAGCTTTCTTTTGTCATGTCACAGACTGGTTGTCATGCACTTGTCTTACCTGAGACGAAGAATTTAATGCTTCTTTCTTCCATGCCAATCTTGTTGGAAGCCACACAGTAGTAAACCCCCGAGACATTGCTAGCCAGGGTTTCCAGGGTGCTGATGATCTGTCCGGTAGAGAAAGATAGATTTGATTTGTTTGTTAGGTTTCTTTAGAGCTGTAACTAGCAGTTTTCCTGCCTTCTTTGTTAAGCTTAAGACATATTAAATTAATGTACACAAAGAGGATGGAAGAACGAGAAGCAGCGCCTTGATCTTAGTGTGCGAGGGCCACATTGGTTTGGCACTGAGCCCTCCTGTTTTGTCTCCTTATGCCTAGGGAGGAGTGGCCAAAATGTTATATATGTGTAGGATGGATGGATTTGCCACAACCAAATTGTGCTGCCTCTGAATTTCAGCACACTGGGCCAAAACCTGAGCCACCCCATCCTAGCAATAACTCTGTATTTATCTGTGACATTTTTAGCTCAGGGCATCCTCCAACAAGATCAACATGGTGCCCACAGCTCTCCTTTGCCCCATTTTCCTTTCACAACAAGTCTGTGTGGCAGGTTGAGCCACACACGCTTCGTTTCACAGCACAGAAATAAAGGGAACTCAGAAGTAACCCTGGCTCTCCTTTGGCTTCCTTTAGCTCTCCTCCTAACATTTTTCTCTGTTTCTGGAAAATACACAATCACTGTATTTTTGTTTCAGAGCAGAACAGGCATGGCAAAAGACATCCTAACAGGGTTTTAAAAAAATCCCACCATTCTAACCTTTCAAACCTGCACAAACATTTCCTTTCATTGATTTCTTTCCAGCTAAAAGAAGACTGCAGGACGTCTCCTATATAGAGAAACATCAGATATGATGTTGTCAATGAACCAAAAGAGGGAATCCCAAATTAGATACCCCAACAGGAGATCTGTAACAACTTTTCGCAACTTTCAGAAAACTCCTGCCATAAAAAGGCTGCAAGTAGCAACAGATGTAACAGTGCATCTGTTAAGGTAAATTTGCAGTCCTACAGCTCATAATAGGTTCTCATGAATTTGCTAGTGATGTTGCTTTGATCAGGCACATAAAGGCCTGTGTCATAAGGCTGCAGTCCTATGACTGCTTATCTGCAAGCACAGAGATACAAAGGCACACACACACGCACACACACACAAAAGGAAAAAGAAAAGTTCAGAAAACAGAGGGTTTCCCTGTTTGTTTTTTAAGTCCTTTTGGTGAAACAAAGCACACACCCCTACACAGCATGCACAGAAAGACTGGCTGGGGAAAAAAGACACAAATAATCCATCCACTGCTTTTAATCTGTCAAAAGTCCAAACAAGTCGGTATCATAGTTTGGCTACTTGGTTTATATAATTTGCACAAGTTAGGCAACAGTAGTTCTCACAATATGAAGATATATCACCATTGACAAATAAATTACAGAGTGAAGGTCAAGAGACAAAAAATGAGTTTGGCCTACGCATGACAAATATTATCTTCTAACACGATCTTACAAATCTCCAGAGGTTTTCAGTGTAAATGCTTTGCAGGTCAAACATGGATACACAGGAAACTAGTATTGTAGACATGCCTTAGGTTAGGGAAATGGCAGGGGTGAAGATTTCCAGATGTTTTCTACTTGAAAGACAGTTATCTCCAGCTGAGATAACTCTTTTTCCATCTTATTCCATCTCACAAATTGCATTTAATCCAGGAGGCACTCTATTAGTTAGGAAACCAAATAAACTAAGCTTCCAATCCTATATCCATTTCCCTGCAATACTACTGAACACAATCAGGTTTACTTTTGAGTAGACACAAGTAGAATTGGATGGACAATAGTGGAGCTGGACAGCAGAAATCTTGCTTCTTACTCTCTTTTATTTACCATGTATTATACTTCCCTTCACTTTTCCACTAAAAATGTAATACTTGCAGCAGCACTGTTAGAAAAGAAGTGCTATTAAACCAGTGAATAGTTTTGGAGACAAAGCTTGCCTTCTAGAAAGCTAGAGTTCTGCAGAAATAACCAATATGGATTATCCTTGCTATCTCACAGCTAGCGGTATGAACACTTACAGAGATGTGATGGGAATCCCCATTCAAGTTGGGCATGCTTGAAGGACACTACGAGCATATTTTGGGGAGGAGGAGACTCTTATCCTGGGAAGGGTATTTCCATTTCAACAACCTTCACAGGGTTGCTGTGCTGTCTGTTGCAACTTCTTTTTCTGGCTAATACATCTTAAGAATACAGTAATTTAGTGATGCCATCTCTGTCACATTTTCAGGAGGTCAGATATACTAGCTGCTGGCCCCAGTGCAACATAAGTTTAACAAGGTATCATTGAAATCAGTAATGTTTCTAGCATCCTGCTTCTTTTAATTGGGTTTCAGCATAGCTAAAGATTTGGTTCTGATGTCTGCGGAAGTATATTTGTGATCACTGGATTATGAGAGATCAGAAGGAAAGGATGGGTTGCATCTGCAGCACCATTTTTTGAGGCAGGTTAAAACTGATTTATCTGTCTTGCTCTAAGGTATCTAGAGATATAGTTTTTTCAAAAGCAGTTCACAGTGTAATACTGTACATATCAGGGAGGTGGTTATGTGCACTGGGAATGATGTAAGAGTGGCACCAACGTAGTTGGGGCAGAAACAAACCAGAGTCATCTAGAAAATCCTCCTCCACGACATGTGCCGGAGGCTAAATAATTGCAGCATCACAGTTTGAGCCTCTGATGGCACAGTGATGCACCACAGCATTTACTGCTCAGAGGATGTACTCTGTGTGCTGCCAGCAAAATTTGATGGGGGTGGTCTTCTCTCTAAGCTATGAACTTTCTGCTCATAAGGGACTAGCACTACTTTGCCTAAAGGTTTTAGGGCACTAGCTTCTGAAACAAATATCCCTTTTGCTCACGGGGCTTTGAATGTGTGCATTTAGAGCATCCACCTCCCAGCCAGGCTTATCCTTACAGAATGCTTTGATGTGTTGGAAAAGCGTCTATCCTACACTGAATGCACACGACATGTCCCTCTCCCTTCATCAAACATTCACTTTGAAGGTGTTGGTAGTGCCAAGAGTTCAGCAGCTCACTTGAGATGTTACTGAGCGTGGCCCTCCCACTCTGGTTGGACAATGAACTTCAAAAAGTTTGATCCCACATCAGTTTTTGCCATGACTCTTCTCCCACAGATAAATTTTATTTTATTTTACTTACATTTTATTTTACTTATTTGCAGTTGTGCTATTTATATGTCACCGACTTCTTTGATTAGATTGTAGAGAAAAATAAAACAAAGCCCCATATTTCTCTCTATCTCTCTCTCCCTCCCCCATCTATGTATCAGCAAAATCTGCTATCCAAAGCACATTGATCTGGCCAGGGCCAATTTTTATGGGATCTAAACCACAGCAGAGTGAACAGATTCAGTTCCGGGGGGGGGGGACTCCAAACCAATTTGGATTGAGGGGTTAAACCAGAAAGAGGGGGAGGGATCATGTAAGTGATCAGCAAAAAAGTCGGAGAACCGGGCTCTGTTGAGGGACAGCCATAATATGCAAGTTGAAGCCCGACGTTCACTTAACTCACTGCACCGGAATGGAGCTGGATTTAAAGGCACTCTGTATACAAATCTCTGAAATTTAGCACCTTTACTTCTCTCTTTACAGGCCATTATGTTGCAAGTTTTCATGGGCACAAAGAAAAAAAGGCTATTGCCATCTAGGCGTGTGGCCTGCAAGTCAGACCAACAGTCTGAATTTACATAACCATCAAAATTCAGGGCACAATATGAATCAGGCAGGAGCTCAGCTGTATCATGCATCACAAATTAAAGCAAAAAGACTATATTGTATGCTCAAGAAATAGGGTAACTTTCCCCTACATAATGATAGGCTTCCCTGCCTTGTAAATAATATTAGTATGGTTTACTTAGTATATTGCTTGGGAGCAGGAAAAATAAATCTTAACTTACAAGAAAAACTGGTTGTATAATAGAGTACCCGTGCATGGCTGGATAAATGCCTCTATGCTAAGTATCCCTATTCAGTGGTCAGCCTTTGGCAACTGCACAGAAATGGATGAGGGCCACAATATTCATGTACTGTATGTGTTTCACCACAATTTATTTTACACCTATATGGCTTAATTTATCAGGACATATTTAAAGAGACCAGACTATCCCACTGCAGCAGCTCCAGGGTCTGTGTGAAAGCTGTAGCAGATTGGTGAAGCTTTACATGGGCAGAACAGATAGCGTTTGTAGACCCAACACTCACTCTATGTGTAGGACTACCACTCACATCATCCCAGTAGCCATGCTGGTTGGGGTGAGGGCAGATATAGGCAAACACATCTGGAGGATGTCATATTGGGTTAGGACTTGTTGCCAGTCTTGGGACATTTCTGTGAGGTTTGCAGAGAAATCTGCATGGCTTGGCACTGAGTAGAATGAAATCATCTTTGCTGATGGAAGAAATCCATGTGTGCATCAGTGCCCTGAGGAGCTTTGGACTGCAGCTAGTGATTTAAATCAAACACAAGATGTTTTGTTTTTTCATACATCTTGCAACTGACCTATGGGATAATTAGGATCAATAGAGAAAAGCCAGATCTGAAGATGTACTCTGCACTCTAAATGTCCGTGAACAGATTCAGTTCCGGGGGGGGGGGACTCCAAACCAATTTGGATTGAGGGGTTAAACCAGAAAGAGGGGGAGGGATCATGTAAGTGATCAGCAAAAAAGTCGGAGAACCGGGCTCTGTTGAGGGACAGCCATAATATGCAAGTTGAAGCCCGACGTTCACTTAACTCACTGCACCGGAATGGAGCTGAATTGAAAGGCACTCTGTATACAAATCTCTGAAATGTAGCACCTTTACTTCTCTCTTTACAGGCCATTATGTTGCAAGTTTTCATGGGCACAAAGAAAAAAAGGCTATTGCCATCTAGGCGTGTGGCCTGCAAGTCAGACCAACAGTCTGAATTTACATAACCATCAAAATTCAGGGCACAATATGAATCAGGCAGGAGCTCAGCTGTATCATGCATCACAAATTAAAGCAAAAAGACTATATTGTATGCTCAAGAAATAGGGTAACTTTCCCCTACATAATGA